GTCGGTCGGGGCAGCTTCACCTCTGATCCTTCTCTTTTGGTCCGAAAGGTTTACGTTGATGTGGAGTCCAGGACGAAGGACCACACAGCATTTGTGCAGGTGCTGGGTCGATTGTGATCCATGGTCGTAATGCAGAATGGAGGGCTTCCCACAGCGAGAGCCACATCATCAGCGAGAGCCACATCATGAACAGGTTCCTTTTCCATCCGCGCAGCCGTTGGACACTCAACATGTGTGACAGATGCATGGAGAACATCTCAAGTGAGAGCCACACTGTGAAGACTGAGTTCTCTTCGTCTATACATTATCTGCACGCGTGTCATGCGAATGCGCCGCGTTAGCGCGAGAGCGACACATAGGAAATGTATAGTACTCTCTCTCTCCATATAATTGCGGGAAGCTTTTAAGACACAAGTGCACGCGATTGAGGTGAGAGCCGCAGTTTGAATGCGGCCAGCTGTCCATTCGCGCAACCGTCGGACATCTCCACGTCAGCGACAAGAATGCGGCATTAGTGCGAGCCACGTTTCGAAAGCGGGCTGCCCTCCACCGTCCTGATAAATTCCAGAAGCCTTGTAAGACGAGTGTGAGCCTTCGAGGAGAGCGCCACACATGGAACGTGTTTGACAATTGCCCGTGTCACATCCGTGATAACACTGAAAAGATGCAAAGCAGTTCTCGCTGTGATTCTGCGAGAGCCGCTGCTTGGAAACATATCGCTCTCCATATTTTTGGAGCTGCCCAGCACTGCAAGCTCAGGGTGGTAGACAGTCAGGATGTGGAAAGGAAGCGAGAGCCACAGCTTGAACAAGAGGACCGCCCTCCATGCATGTGATTGCTGGAGTAATTCATGGCGAACGTGCACGGTGCCAGGGTGAGAGCCTTATTTCGGACAGTGACCACCTTCTGTCCGTGCAGTGGCTGGATGCTCCACTAAGCGCGAGGAGCTCTCAGACGAAGCACCCGCACCGCCATGCCGACGCCCTGGCTGGAGAGTTGGGAGGAGGACCAGAGCAGGATTAGAAGAAGAAGAAGAAGCCGAAGCAGGAAGAGGATGAGGATAGATAATCACAATCACAAGGGTAAGAAGGGGCAGAGAGGCACGAGGACGAGCCGGCAGTGGCAGACGAGGCGGAGGAGGAGGAGGAGGTGAGGAGCCTGAGATTGCCACAAGGGTTCGCGGCTCATGGTCGGTCTCGCGCGAGCGATCCGGGCCGAGCACCTCAAGAGGACAGAGCGATGAAAGGGCGCGGGCGGCCGTGGCGAAGCCGTGAAAAGCGGATGCCGGAGCGGAGGAGAGAAAGGACCAGGACGGGGCGTTCCGTGTCGGCATACTTCTCTCCGGATGCAACTCCCGGGAGGTCAAGCTCTGATTTTGCCCCGGCCCGACATCCGGCCTGATCCCGCGTTCCAGCCGCTTGCATCCCGCTTCACTCTCTGTTCGATCCCGCTTGCTCCGCGGCCTCATCCGGCGTAGCAGCCCCCCCGAGATGGGGCTTGCGGCCTGAGGCTCCGCAATTACAGTCGGGGCGCTGAAGAAGGAACCCTTTTCGTTGGGGAGGGGCTCCGTGTTCCTTAGTTGCTTTACAGCTTGCCTCAAGCTTTCCTCAGGTTTTCGACAGGAAATCGAAGGTTAACTTATGAGAAAAAAGGGACCCCGTTCCTTATTTAGGGTTCCTTAGGTCAACGCCCCGCAATTATTCCTTCCGACGAAGACCTTCCAGCAGTTGCATCCGAGCGTTCCGAGGACGGCCGTGCCGTCGCGCGCTCATAGGAGAGGTGCTCCGCCCAAGTCCGGGGGCGCGAGTGGGGCGAGAAGGAACAGGGGACAGAAAGGAGCACGAGCGGGGGCGATGATGGTGCAGATGTATGAGGAGGAGGAGGAGGAGGAGGAGGAGGAGGCCGAGCAGCACCAGGAGCCAATGGTCAGGAGCAAGAGCAGGTGCGACAATAGGCGCAGACTGCCGACACTCGCAGGAGAAACAGCGGCGCAACCATAAACTTTCGACGCTCCGCGCGGACCGTCAAAAGTTTATGTTTATGCCGCTTTTCCTTCCCCTAGACACGGCCATCTTGTTCGGGAGAGTCCGAAGAAACATCCGGTTGAGACCATCGGAGCACGCAAAGCCAGTCTCAGATTCATGCTCGCGACCCTGATCCGGCTGCTGCCTGGTCCGCGGCGTCGTCTCCCTGTTTCTGCTGCGTCTGCTACGTACTCGTGTTGTGCCTTCTCTGGTAGCTCTGTTCCTCCTCTTGTCCCATCCTTCCGTGGATACCTCGGCGGCGCTCCGACATCAGAAGGGGTAGCAGCGATCCATGGTCACAGGATCGCCACAGGATCTTCCTTCTTCTCCTCCCTCGGCTTCGAGGGCCTCACTTGCTTGTCTTCATGACCGCTGCTTGCACTGAAGGGGTTCTCGCGGATGCTCCGAGGATTCGGCGGAGGTGTCGGGCCGGTTTTGGTCGGCGGCCGTGTGCCCAGCGCCCCTGGTGTCTGGGTTCTTGGCTCTGGGCGGGGGTGTGTGTTGCCGATCTTAGAGAGTTGGCTGGGGTCCCAGGCTCCCACGAGCTACAGAGAGTACAGAGATAGGATAAGATATATATATATATAGAGAGAGAGAGAGAGTGAGAAGGAGAGACAGAGACAGAGACAGATGCAGAGAGAGAAGGAAGAGAAAGAGAGTGCAAGTACCATTGGTTGGAGAGAAAATAGTTGAGCAGCGAGGGTGGAGAGATCAGCGACAGACGGGAGGTACGAAGTAAATACCAGTGAGTCGAGGGCAGAAACCATGGCGCATTGCAGGGTATCACCGCGTCCGTCATCGTTTGCTCTGGCGAATGACATAGGGTTGGAGTCTTCTCTAGTGCAACGCTTTCCCTCGGATCCCGCCCCAGAATGCCCAGCACCCGATGCTTTGGTGCCCGCTCCTCTTTTGCGATACGCCGGGCTCCAAGACACGTAGAACTGGAGCGCGCGCCGAAGCACGCACGCTGGTCCTGGAGCGACGCGATCCCGTACGCTGCACGCTCGCCCGGTGACGAGGCCCGCTCGGTGTGGAGGCAGCCCGCCGTGGCTCTGGCCACGCGGCGCCCCCGCGGCGGTGGCCCCCTCTGCTGCCGCCCGCCGGCCGGCCCACGGGCGCCGCCGATGCAGCCAGGCGCCCTCGCCCACCCCCCGTGGCCCTGGCGGCTGGCGCGCTGGCCGGAGCAGTGCCGGCCCCCCGCAGGCCCGCCAGCAGAGCCCGACGCCTCCGGCGCAGCGCCGTGCCCGAGCCCCGCACCAGCCGCGGAGGCGCCCGGGCTCCGCCGAGACAGCGTGGCCGCTCCAGCAGGTTTCGGTGCGTGGGGGCCCCCGGAAGTCTGGACCACCCGGAGAACTTGGCGGCTCAATTGTTTTCGAGAGGGGCGCTTGCGCTCAGTTTCGGGCCCCGGGGCCCTCACGATATCGATGCGGATCGTAACATGATGCAGGAAGATGGGGTCTAGGGCTCTGGTCGCGAGTGGTCGTGATGTTTCAATGTTTTTGGAAACGTCGGGTCTCGGGCACTTCCTATCTTCGTCCTGAGTGGTCTTTTGGCGCTCCACGGGGCCCGGCGAGTGAAGGGGGCCGAACAAAACCGGCGCAATACCGACGTGCATTTCTCGACTTGTTGCGTGTCCATGCGCTGGACCTCCGAGCAGCGAGGGCCGAAGACCGGCCGCTCCACTTTGGTTCGGAGCGCCGCGTCTTAGAAGAGAAGCCAGAGAGAAAGAAAACAAGCAAAACACACATGACATCACAGACACGGGCGAAACTAAAAAAAAAACGAGAAACACATAAATAAACAAGCACACATCAACAAGCACACACATAATAACAACAACACAACAACGAAAGCAACAACAACAAAAAAACGCCCGCGGCCGACCAGAGGCCGCCGGCTGGCCCCCGCCCGCGCCGCCGCCGCGTGCGCTCGGCGGCGAGGCCGCCGCCGTGGCCGCCGCGGTGGCCTGGCCGCCGGGGCTCGCCCCGCCGCAGGGCGGCGCGGCGCAGAGGCGGCCGCCGGAGGCTCGGCGGCCCGCGCGCCAGTTGCCGCTGTCGGGGCGGGCGGCGCGGGAGCGGAGGCGCACGGGAGTCACGCGGGGGGGGCTAGTTTGACTCCGGCTCGATTCCAGTTCGGCTCAGGTTTGGCTCAAGTCAACGGACGCTCGACGCAGCATCGACGCGCGAGCGGCGCCGGGAAGGTCCCCCAGACGAGCATCTGCCCCCCCCCCGCGCCGATCGGCCTCGACATGGGCACGGCAGGCACGGGCTGGCAGATCCAGGCGGTGCAAGATATCGCGGGGGCCGGTTCTTTCGTAAGTTCTCGGTCCCTGGAGACCGTTCCTTGGCCCCACGGGCCCCACTCAGCCACGCGCAGAGGGGGGGGGGGCGAGGGCTTCTTAGAAGCACCCCTGCTTCTTAGGAGGCGCGGGCCTTCTCCATAGATGTAAGGCCGGCGCCTTCTAAGAAGCGGCCTCCTTCTATGAAGCCCTTCCCCCCTCCCTCCACTCCCTTGCGCGCGCCGCCAGGGGCGTGATGACTAAGGGGGGCGGATATCATGGCGTGGGCCATGATATTTCCCCAGATTTCATGGCGCCTCTTCTTATTCTTATTCCATTGCGTCCCTGGCCCCCCCTTGGGCCGCGCACGTGCCGCCTGCCATGATTTGCGCCCCCCACTTGGACGCTCCCCTCTTGGCCGCCGCCGATCACAGAGCGCGCTCCACTGCTCGCAAAGTGTCTACTCGCAAATTTTCGAAAACATCTGTTCGCCTCGATGCAATATGTCGCAGATCCCCAGGCGGCAGACTGAGGCCATTTGCGAGCAGTTACTTTGTGCGAGTCGTGGAGTGCGCTTGTCTAGGGGGGAACAGGTGTAATTATACCCACACCGCTTTTCCCTGAGGTCCTGGCGGCTCCACTTTCTCGAGCCCCGGGGCGTGTTCGCTCTCCACTTCGGGCCCCGGGAGGCCCTCGCA